CACACACACACACACACACACACACACACACACACACACACACACACACACACACACACACACACACACCCTCCTCTGCAGCAGCACCTAATACTTCTTCATATGTGTTTATCTGCCCCTCCAGGACTACTTCACAGACCTGATCACCAACGACAGCACCAACTTCTTCCGCACGTCGAAGCGGATGTTCCCCCACGGCCTGTGATGATGGTCGTGAGTCACGCCGCCCTCATGGTCCCGAGGACTCAGCCCCGCAGTACGCCGAGCACTTCCCAAACGCTTCCCAACACATGTGAGTAGCGTATATGATCATGTGTGCACTCATCGGGGCTTCTCTATGGGACCTAAAGGCATGAGTCATGGATGTAAAGGGTCCTCTTTACATCCAGAGTCACAGTAATACAGATGCTCTCATGTATAGCCCAACATTAGCCGCCTTGAGCTGTTTGTAGATCGTGCTTTTCTTACTTTCTCCCCCACTTAACATTCCCCTCTGTCTGTTTGCTCTTCGTTTCTGTCTCTCTGTCTCCCCCCTCCCTCCCCACTTCCTCATGCTGTCCATATCAATCAGTATTTTCTCCCCGGGGCTCTTGGGATGAGAGGAATGCATTGTGTGTGCAGAGGAACACCCTTTGTGACATTATTAATGTATTTATAGCTCTAGCCTTGGGGGTTAGCGTAGCGCCAACAGAGTCTGATCCTCTCTCTCGAATCGGGGTGACTTCTGAGTGACAGGTGGAAGGTGGGCTGTGATTGGCCGAGGCTCTCTGTGTGTGTGTGTGTGTGTGTGTGTGTGTGTGTGTGTGTGTGTGTGTGTGTGTGTGTGTGTGTGTGTGTGTGTGTGTGTGTGTGTGTGTGTGTGTGTGTGTGGTCTGACTTCCATAACTTTGATTTTGGGGAGTTTTTGCTGGCAAACGTCGTGGAGCGAATTCTTCTTTTATGATTCTGTTTTGACACTTCTCCAATTTTGAGAGGTTTCAAAGAGTTTTGTTTTTATTCTCCACAAAGAGTCCCTTGGAAAGGCCATCTCAGGCTGCAGCTGATTCACTTCCTCGTGGATTCACTCTCAGGTTTATCCTTTTAGAGTGGGGTGGAAAAAATGACGGAAAGATGTGAAACATGTCCGTCCAAGTTCCTCTGTCTTTTGCAACGTCTTTAAATATAAGATGTTCCCGTTGATATGATATAAAGACAGGAAAGCAGCTGTTCTCTATCTTCTAAAGGCTTAAACCACATGTGGTGCATTAATAATAGCTTCACATTTGAATTATCACAATATCTGTCCCTTTTTCTTCTGTCGATTAACGGTTGCAGGTTTAAGGTCATGCACTAAAGGAAAGACGTGAACATAATAAAGTAAAATGTCAAAAGGGATGATTTTAAATATTTAATTTTCGTGCAAACCCAAAGATATTCACTTAATTATGATAAAACAAAGACAAGATCAATATTTGAGCGGCTAAAAAACTGCATTTTCTGACATTTCTGCACGAAAAACGACCGATTATCCAAACATTTTTTGTTGATTCTCCGGCACTTCGTCGACTAATGGCTGCAGGTTTAAGGTCATGCACTAATGGAGAGACTAGACGTGTGTGTGTGTGTGTGTGTGTGTGTGTGTGTGTGGAGCTCATAAATCAGCTTCTGAACGTGTGACAGCAACAATAGCAGGAGGTTGGATGGTGATGTCGTTAACATTCCTCTCTGGATGTGTCTCTACTCTCTGAACACTTTGTATCTCAGAGAGTGTGTGGAGGTTATTTCCTGCTGTAACCCCTCTGTTGTATCTTCTCAGTTTGATGGATCACTCAGAGATTGTCATGTTTTTATTTGATTGTATCCACTTGTTTGAAATGAAAGTTGTTTTCGGTTGACTTACAAAATCTGTCCAGGGACTACAGAGGAAAAATAGCCTCTTGTGACATTTGCAGAAATGTTGATTAATGTGCACTGTCCCTGTTAATGAATAAGGTGGCAGGTGTGACCTCTCCTATAGATTCCCTCTTTGGTTCCTCTGACCTCTGAATTCCTGCTGCTCTGGTGCCCAGGGCCCCCTTACCTTTGGTGGCCCAGTGCCCAGAAACAGGTCCCTTTTGTGGGGCTTATTAGACCGCCGGGCTGCTGCTGGGTGAAGAGTTCAGAGTCGGCACAAAGAGGAGAGGGCAGGAAGCAGTTCAGGGATTCAGAGACGCTCCAAACCAGGGACTCATGAAGTCCTCAGGCTGCAGGGTTTACCGATTCAGAGGAGGGGCGGTTAGTTTGTTTAGGAGGAATAACGGCTAGTTCAAAGCGCAGTACAGTATGTGGTGTCTTATGATGCCCAGCAGACAGTTTATCCAGCTGCTGATTATCCAGAACATGTTAGATTACAGTTTTGTTCTTTGAGCAGAAAGGACAATAGGTGTTGTTTTATTCCTCCGTTGGAGAGTGTGGATGCTGCTCTGTTGAGTCAGTATGCAAGTTGCAGATATTCCAGACGTTTTAGTGCTTTTTTAGGGCTTTCAAGAATTATTTTTGATAGGATAATGGTATCTTATTTTGCATTGAACTGCAGAAATGTTGCATCCTTTGCACACTGCTCTACAGTTCATCCCATCTTAAGTTCAGAGTTACCTCTGCAGACAGGTGAGCAGCGTCTCTCCGCTTGATCCCCCCCTCCTCGTACTCCAAGTTCTCTTCACAGAGCTCAGGTGTTCAACAGTCTTATTGCCTGTGGGATCAAATAGTCCCTGATTCTGGTGGTTTCACTTCAGTGTGTGAGAAGTCTCAGACAGGTTTCCCTGGCGTCCTGAAAAGAGCGTATACATGCATGTTTGTGTAAATCACACACAGAGCATCAGCTAGTTCCTGAACAGTGTCCTTCACATGCTGATATCCAAGAGAGGGAGTTCCACAGTCACAAGATGGAGGAATAGAAAGCAGTATTCAATGTTTACTTCAGATTAGCTCCACGTCAGAAATGATCATGCTTGTCATATGTCTCTCTCCATAGAGGCTGAATCATCATGTTAATCACATAGCTATCATATGCCTCAAACAGTCCTGATGCTCTTCTAGGTAATCACACATCCTGTCATGTTCACAGCTACAGTTGATACCTTTGATATCATGTTGCTCTCATGTTGGAAGATACATTCAGGATTTTCACAACATCCCTCAACACTTCCCAAACCACCTGAAACATACTCGACCAAACACAAAACATCCCGGCCTCTTCCACATTTAACTTTTCCTCCCACAAAATCATCTTTAGGTTGATTTAGGGATCCCAGTTTTAAGACAAATATACAGGATTTTTGACTTTTTCTGTACCCTTTTCCCCCTTTTCTAGTACGCCCGCCTACAACTACGCCCCGAACATGGACAAACACTGGATCATGCAGTACACCGGCCCCATGAGGCCGATCCACATGGAGTTCACCAACTTTCTGCACAGAAAGAGGCTGCAGACGCTCATGTCGGTGGACGACTCGGTGCAGAAGGTACGTGTTGTTGTGACGGCAGTTATAAATGCACCGGCCAATTATGAGAGTTTTCTGTCACAGACTAGAGGGGGGAAGAAAGCATCCAAAACCATCATTCAGGAGTTTGCTTTACTAAGTTTGTGTCTGCAGAGACTCTTAAACCCACCTAAAGTTAGCACTACATATCGCTTCATTAGCATGTTTAAATATAGCATCTCAGAAAACTTGTAATATAAAAGATAATTGTGTTACTGTCAGTAATGAAGTGATAACGTTTCATGGTGATATCTGTTAGTTGCATTTCTTACCCTATCCACCATGTATGCATTTTTCAGGATTTTCTGTAGTTCCTCTAAAAGTCTCTCTCTCTCCCGACCCTCCCTCGCGTTCCCTGTCAGGTGTTTGACATGCTGGAGGAAACTGGAGAGCTGGACAACACGTACGTCATCTACACGGCGGACCACGGATATCACATCGGGCAGTTTGGGTTAGTGAAGGGGAAGTCCATGCCGTACGACTTCGATATCCGAGTGCCGTTCTTCCTGAGAGGACCGAACATCGAGCAGGGCGCCGTGTAAGTCTGCGAAACAACTATTTTCACAGGGCTTAGTCTTGGAGGCATATATCTTATTAGAGTTTGATGAATTACATCATTTTGCCCCATTTTATATTCCGTGCATTTACCAACAATGTACTTTAATGCTATTTTAAAGCAGAGAAAGAGACCCAATCGCCTCTAATGAACGGTACCATCTCTCTCTGTGTTGTTTCTTCGTTAATCCTTGGATGTGCTTTTTTGAATTTCCCAGCATGCATTTCATCCGTTCCCTCCCTGTCTGTGTGCAGGAATCCTCACATGGTGCTGAACATCGACCTGGCCCCCACCATCCTGCACATCGCCGGCCTCGACCCCCCCGCCGACATGGACGGGAAATCCGTCCTGAAACTGCTGGAGCAGGACCGGACTGGAAACAGGTCAGTTTACTTTGTTATCTGTTTGTTTGTTTGTTTGTTTGTTTGTTCACCATGTAAAGCAGCCTTGGGCCTCTGTAGTCCCTGAGAGTTGATGTGTAGCAGCTCTGCCTTTCTGGAGTAAGCTCACATGTAGAGAGTCTCTGCAGAGATCCAAAGCTTTCTGATGGGTTTTCCTTGGCTGCTCGACTCTGGCTCTGAGTCACTGGGGGTTCTCTCAGGAAGTTCCCCAAACAAAAACGATGAATCATTTGTTTCCCCAGAAACCAAGTAGCGTCCAATATTAATGAAACAAACACGTCATGCACGAGGAATTTAAAAGAGCATGAGAAGCATAGAGCTGCACATAATAATCCATGGACTGAAAAATAACTTCAGGGTTTGTTGGAGTATTTTTGTAACAGCCCCAATCAGCTTTTGTTAGTAGATTATTTATTAGATTTTTTTCTTACGTAAAAAATACATATTTATAAGTAAGAAAACTAAACAAAAAATACAATAAATATACATATATATTTTATATATTGATCTTGATTTTCATTAAGAGAATTGGCAACTATTTGATTATCTAAAATCAAGTGCTTTTTAAAGCAAAATGTAAAGAAAATGCTGCTGTCAGCGTCTCAAAAGTGGAGATTTTCTTTTGCTTTTCTCAGTTTTTCATCATTATATCAATATGTTTGGGTTTTGGACTAACACAAGACATTTGAACAGATCTCCTTGGACTTTGAGGAACTGGGATGGACATTCTTCACAATTTTCTGACCTTTTTCTGAGCAAACGATGAATGTATAAAATAATCTGCAGTTAATAATCAACATTATAGTTAGTTGCAACCTTACAAAGTAAAAAAAAGTATTATTACACCTACGTATTTTTACTGTTTTGATGTCTCTGCAATGCTCACAACAGAGAGTCTCATTGGGAACGGTCCCAGTGCATCAGAGAGAACTGGGACAGTATATTTCATGCTTAAATATAATGACTTTCCCCTCCTTGCTGTCACTCTGCAGCAGACGGTGATTGCCAAGTCAGATGAGTTTCATAAACTTTGTGCATTTTGTTTTCCCAGATTCAAAACCAACAAGAAACCCAAAGTCTGGAGGGACACATTCCTGGTGGAGCGAGGGTGAGACGTCCTTCTTTCTTTATCCCTTTTCCCTCACCGCAGACACATCCATGTCCCTGCAGAGTGTGTGTCCTGCAGAGTGTGTGTCCTGCAGAGTGTGTGTCCTGCAGAGTGTCTGTCCTGCAGAGTGTGTGTCGTGTAGAGTGTGTGTTGTGTACAAACCAGAGGTGGGAAGTAGTGGAGTACAAATACTTTGTGACTGTACTTAAGTACATGTTTCTGTTATCAGTACTTTACTCCACTACTTATTTTTCTGATGACTTTTTACTTTCTACTTCTTACATGTTGAACCCAAATACCTGTACTTTCTACTTCTTACATTTTGAACCCAAATACCTGTACTTTCTACTTCTTACATTTTGAACCCAAATACCTGTACTTTCTACTTCTTACATGTTGAACCCAAATACCTGTACTTTCTACTTCTTACATGTTGAACACAAATACCTGTACTTTCTACTTCTCTCATTTTCCAAACAGGCTGGTTCCTTTAGTCTGAATGTGTGTTTGGTGGCGTGATCATTATTATTTAGAGTCATTGCGTGCCTATTGATTTGAACACGATCCGTGTATCCATCATTTCCTGGTCTTCTCTAAAGAAGAGGGACCAATGAAAACGTTGTCATGTTGCCGTTGTTCAGCATGGAAACATTCATTAGCTAACAATGACATTATTGTTCTATTAATATAAAGGGAGGTCAGGTACTCTTTAAAACAGCTGCTAGTTATGGGTACTTTTTACTGAAGTACATTTCAAAGTTCTTTACTTTGACTTGAGTAAAGAAGTTTAGTCAGTACTTCTACTTTCACCAGAGTATTTTTAAACACGAGTATCTGTACTTCTACTTGAGTAAAGGATGTGAGTACTTCTACTTGAGGAAAGGATGTGTGTATCTCTGGTTGTGTGTCACACTATCCTAACACTTGGATGAACCCGGGGTGTGTGAACGCTCCTCGAGACGTTAGTTCTCCGCTTCCTGCCCACAGTCTGCTGGGACCAGCCTTTAATATTCACAAATGTTTTGTAGACGCCAGGCGACATTCGATGAAGAAAAACAAGCCCAGTCTTTGTCCTCTGCACGCGATCGGGTACGTAAACCTGACTTTTTAAACCGAGACAGACGGAAGAAAGCGAGACACGCAAAACAAACAAAGACAGGATGAAGTTACCTGAGGAATGAGAGGATCAGGATGCAGACAGAGCTTCAACAAGACTCTTTTCTTTGTGGAAGACGCCATCGCACACAGCCTGTCAGGTTTTAGTGTCACTTAGTGTCTCCATGTTGCAGAAAGCAACACCTCTGCACGCTTTGGAGCTGTGGCAGTGCCAGGAAGCTGCAAGTCTTTGCACGATAAAGCAGGTCCTTAAGTCTGGCTTTCGGTCTTAAGTACAATGTATAGTCCTTCAAACTAATGTTCTGCTGCTGCGTTTGATCAAGAGGGTCCTAAAAAGTATTAGTCATCACAAGAAACACACAGCTGTTAAAGAGCAAGTGAGTTAGGAAGCTGCTGTGAGTCCAACATGATCACAAGTTATTTTAGTAGTTGTGTGAATCGCCTCAGTTTAATGCATTGTTAACCTGGTGCTCTAATTGATCTGACGCTGATCCCCTCTGGTTCCTGCAGGAAGATCCTGAGGAAGAAGGAGGACTCGGTGACCCCGCAGAACACCAACAGCCTCCCCAAATATAAGAAGGTGATGGAGACGTGTCAGCAGGCAGAGTTTCAGACGCCCTGCCAGCAGCCAGGACAGGTACAACTCACACAAAACAATATTAGATCCTTCATTAAATGTAAGGAGACACATGCATTGGCTTCAACCTATATTTCAATGCATTTGCTTTAACTATCCCCCGTATGTAAAGCACTATTTTGTACCTTTACGGTACGTCCACACGTTGCTTATGTCGGCATCTCAAGGGGTTTCTCCTAATACAAACATTTCTATATATATGAACGCACCTACCTGCACATGGAAACCCTTTACGCTGCATCCTAATTGGACCATTTGTGCATGAATCTGTTCCCTTTCATCTGCGCCCTTTAACGCGTCTGCAGCTCTCCGACCAGAACGATACAAATTGTTACAAGTCTCGGGTTAGCGTTGAATGACGGGAGCGCTAATGCAACCCAGATCCAGTTTATAGTCACATAAACGTGTGTGTGTGTGTGTGTGTGTGTGTGTGTGTGTGTGTGTGTGTGTGTGTGTGTGTGTGTGATATTTAGAGTATATTTTCACGGTTAACCTGCCTGTCAAATAGTCCTTTCTGACGGGAAACTGAATCCACCAGACTCCACTGACAAAAACACTAATTCAAGCTTGCAGAATACGGGTTTTGAATCAATTGGTGAGTTTTTTTGTGTTATTGTGTGACTTTAGTGTCTTACAGAGGTATTTCAGCTTTTTCTAAGTCACAGTAACACAAACTAACTAACAGATTGCATCAAAGTTAAACAAACAACTCCCAGATTCTGCAAAGTAAGAAAAGTGTTTTTGTCAATGGAGTTTGTTGGTTTTATAGATAACCCCTTCAGTTCACTTCAGTTCAGACAGTCTTTTCTTGCAGCAGAAATATTCAAAACACATCAAAAATGCACGAGGACTTCATACAACCCCACTTCGACACATCTGTGCTATCCCTTTGACCCCTCTGTCACATATAAACCCCTCAAACTGAAGCATTGTGCTCAAACAAATAGATATTCATGCACAGAGACATCTAACCTCAGTCCTGAACCAGATCTGATTTTAAAAGTCATTGTCTTGAACTCGACCGCATGTTTTTGTTTTTGTCTCGGAGCTGTCGCGACCCTCTGAGATCGATCCTCGGTTTGTTGTGGGTTCAGAAGATTTACTCACCAGGGACGGCTCTGTTTCCTTATGGTCTAACAGTGAGAGTGGTTTAAAACCTCATGTTTCCCATCGTTGTTTCTGAGGAGGCGGAGGATTTGGCTTTTTTCTCCATGTGATCCAGAGGAAACTGAACGTCTTCACAGCCTTTTCTTTCGAGCCTTCGTTCCCACACTCACCCTACGATACGATAATACCTTAATCACCCGGGTAACCAGCACTTTGGACGGCTGCGCTCAGGCAGGTCGCTTCTGTACCATGTCTTCCCGGACAAACAGACTCAAGTTTAGTTTCTTTCCCAGGGCCATATGTGCACTTAACGCTGCTAATATTTAAGTTATCATGTCTTCCGTGCAATATTAGGGGAATCGTGCAATTTAATTTATTATTTATTTATGTATATTCCCTTTCATGTCTATTTAAGTCCCATTTATTGTTTTTATATTGTCTTGTTGTTGCGCGTTGGCACCTTGAGTTCATATTGTGATTTCTTTGTACTTGTACAATGACAAATTATGAAGTCTGAAATGTGACATGTGTAACATCAGCAGACATCAAGACACATCACAGCAGGATCAGTGAGAGGTGATCTGGATTCAGCTCTGTGTTCACTGAGAGCACAGAGGATGCTTCAGTCTGAGTTTATATTATTATTATTATATCCTCTCTGCACGTGTGTCTCTCTTCCAGAGCTACGCAGCGGCAGAAATGAGCTCTCTTCCTGCTGCGAGTAAATATTGAGACTCGGAGGAAGTCGTCGAGTATTTACACAGCGACTCAGATCAGAGTGAGAGTGTTAGGGGTCTCCTCTTATATTTTCTTGACAGACTCGATGGGTGTCATGTTGGTTTATCTTTCCCACTGCTTTTGGACGCTGGTTTTCCCCACACGCTGAGATGCCCCTGAACTATCCGTCTCTCACGGAGCCTTTGAGATAAAACAGAGGTGTTTCTGCTGACATTTAAGAAGCAATAGATACGTTTTCTATCTTCATGGAGTACATCTCATGTTCTGTTTTCATGAATTCAGCTGGTTTTACGGAGAGGAACGCTGACATGTTCCTAACTCTTTAACCAAGGCAATATCTCTTCCTCTTTTCCAATGAACGTAGCTAGCATTAGCCACAAAAGTCGCTCGGTGTTGTTCCAAACGTAATATGACTTTGGGGGGAAAAGTGAAGAATCAGGGCTGAAGACTTTTCTTTTTGCTGCTGCCTTTTATTAAATCAAATAACTATCTATATGTTACACTACACTGGCTATTTAGTCTTGCATTTAATTACCTCTCTTTTGTATGTTGGCTGGTTTTAATGATTTCCTGACGAAGGAGAGAGAGAGAGAGAGAGCTTGATGATTTGTCTACATGTTCTTGTTGTTTAATCCCCGCTGTGTTTGTGTTTTGCAGAAGTGGCACTGTGTGGAGGAGATCTCGGGGAAGTGGAGGATCCAGAAATGTAAAGGAGGGTCTAAGGAGGGCTCCAGGAAGAGGGTCCGCAGCCTGAAGCCCTCCTTCAGGGAGCCTGCCTGCGACTGTGGAGACGCTCTGATCAAATCCTCCAGACCTGAGCGCCGTGCACACCGTCAGCTGAGCGGACAGCGTGAGTACACACACACACACACACACACACACACTCTTGTTTAGTGATAGATTCAAGTGATACAAAGTGTTTATTCTGTGTATAATATATTGTTA